ACAGTGTGGGACACAGACAGTGTGGGACAGAGACACTGGGACAGAGACAGTGTGGGACAGAGACACTGGGACACAGACAGTGTGGGACAGAGACAGTGTGGGACAGAGACAGTGTGGGACAGAGACACTGGAACAGAGACAGTGTGGGACAGAGACAGTGTGGGACAGAGACACTGGAACAGAGACAGTGTGGGACAGAGACGCTGTGGGACAGAGACAGTGTGGGACAGAGACAGTGTGGGACAGAGACAGTGTGGGACAGAGACACTGTGGGACAGAGACATTGTGGGACAGAGACACTGTGGGACAGAGACATTGTGGGACAGAGACATTGTGGGACAGAGACAGTGTGGGACAGAGACACTGTGGGACAGAGACATTGTGGGACAGAGACGTTGTGGGACGCGGACATTGTGGGACAGAGACATTGTGGGACAGAGACAGTGTGGGACAGAGACAGTGTGGGAAAGAGACATTGTGGGACAGAGACAGTGTGGGACAGAGACAGTGTGGGACACAGACAGTGTGGGACAGAGACAGTGTGGGACACAGACAGTGTGGGACAGAGACACTGGGACAGAGACAGTGTGGGACACAGACAGTGTGGGACAGAGACACTGGGACAGAGACAGTGTGGGACAGAGACACTGGGACACAGACAGTGTGGGACAGAGACAGTGTGGGACAGAGACAGTGTGGGACAGAGACACTGGAACAGAGACAGTGTGGGACAGAGACAGTGTGGGACAGAGACACTGGAACAGAGACAGTGTGGGACAGAGACGCTGTGGGACAGAGACAGTGTGGGACAGAGACAGTGTGGGACAGAGACAGTGTGGGACAGAGACACTGTGGGACAGAGACATTGTGGGACAGAGACACTGTGGGACAGAGACATTGTGGGACAGAGACATTGTGGGACAGAGACAGTGTGGGACAGAGACACTGTGGGACAGAGACATTGTGGGACAGAGACGTTGTGGGACGCGGACATTGTGGGACAGAGACATTGTGGGACAGAGACAGTGTGGGACAGAGACAGTGTGGGAAAGAGACATTGTGGGACAGAGACGTTGTGGGACGCGGACATTGTGGGACAGAGACATTGTGGGACAGAGACATTGTGGGACAGAGACAGTGTGGGACAGAGACAGTGTGGGACAGAGACACTGTGGGACAGAGACGTTGTGGGACAGCGACATTGTGGGACGCGGACATTGTGGGACAGAGACATTGTGGGACAGAGACAGTGTGGGACAGAGACAGTGTGGGAAAGAGACATTGTGGGACAGAGACACTCTGGGACACAGACAGTGTGGGAAAGAGACACTGCGGGACAGAGACAGTGTGGGACAGAGACAGTGTGGGACAGAGACACTCTGGGACACAGACAGTGTGGGACGGAGACATTGTGGGACAGAGACACTGTGGGACAGAGACACTGTGGGACAGAGACACTCTGGGACACAGACAGTGTGGGAAAGAGACACTGCGGGACAGAGACAGTGTGGGACAGAGACAGTGTGGGACAGAGACACTCTGGGACACAGACAGTGTGGGAAAGAGACACTGCGGGACAGAGACAGTGTGGGACAGAGACGTTGTGGGACAGAGACGTTGTGGGACAGAGACGTTCTGGGACACGGACATTGTGGGACAGAGACGTTGTGGGACAGAGACATTGTGGGACAGAGACACTGTGGGACAGAGACACTCTGGGACACAGACAGTGTGGGACAGAGACGTTGTGGGACAGAGACAGTGTGGGACAGAGACACTGTGGGACAGAGACAGTGTGGGACAGAGACACTGGGACAGAGACATTGTGGGACAGAGACAGTGTGGGACAGAGACACTGTGGGACTGAGACATTGTGGGACAGAGACAGTGTGGGACAGAGACACTGGAACAGAGACACTGTGGGACATGGACATTGTGAGACAGGGACATTGTGGAACAGAGACATTGTGGGACAGAGACATCCTGGGCTCACCATGGTGTCACACTGCAGCTCATTTGGACCTCCCCGGTAGCACCGTGTTCCGTTCCCATCCCAGCTGCATCCCAGTCCCCCCATCCTGGCTGCAGGGACATCCCGTGCTGTGCTCGGATGCGGCTCAGCCGTACACTCATGCTGTGTGTGCTGTGCTGCAGGATGACTGGGAGCGGGTGCTGCAGGGGTTGCACACAATTGCTCTTCTAGGTGGGAAAGCAAGGAGCGAGAGCAATGCCGGTGTCACTGGTGCAGAGCTCACCGGGTGGAGAATAGGCCCTGCAGCAGCTTTCTGTCCTGGCTCTCCATTGCATCGCCATTCCTCAGCTCCCTCCCATCACACATCCTCCCAATGCACAGCTCCCCATTTCCCTCTTCCCAATGCATGGCTCCCTGTTGCACAGCTACCTTCCCCATTGCATGGCTGCCCAAGGCTACTTTGCTGTTGCACAGCCCCATCCCCGTGACGCTGCTTCCCACTGCGTGGCTCATTCTGTGTTGCACAGCACCATAGCCACTGCTCAGTTCCCCATTGCACGATTGTTGTACAGCTCCCTCCCCATTGTATGGCTATTGCATGGCTCCCCACTGCTCATCTCCCTCCCTGTTGCATGGCTCTCTCCTCTTCCGTGCTTCCCCGTTGCACAGCTTCTCCATTCAGAGCTGCTGCAAGAGGGACCCAGCACACCCAGGAGCTCTGGGCCAGCCCCTGACATCAGCGAGCACCCATCTCGCAGCTCACTCTGTGCCCATGTGCTGCAGCGCAGATGTGCCTGGCTCCACCACCACCCGCCCCAGCCCTGCCACCGCCTCTTTCCATTCTCCTTTTTGCTCTTACCACCTGCCACCGGCATCCCCTGTCCCTGCAGGCTGCAGGGATTAACCCCATCTGGGGGATGCTGCATACAGGGACATCATCCCTGCCGTGGTCCAGGCGCTGGTGGGGACAGGGTGCACAGGATGGGGGCAACAGGGCTGTGACAGCCACCGGTGCATGCACCAAGCAGGATGCTCCTCTGTGCCTACAGCTCCTCCAGGCTGTGCAGGGACCCAGCCCGAAGGGGGGGGTGACGGGCCCTGCTCCCCCTTGGCCATGCAGGCTGCCAGGCCAGCTGGCTGTGTGAACAGCAGATGTCCACCCCGAGCCACCCTCTGCCGCGCCGGCACCTGGTGCCCAGTGGCCATCTGGAGTCAGCCACGTCCCCGGAGATGATGCTCAGCCCTGGCTGCAAGCAGCACCCGGCCACCGCCATCCATCCCGGGGGATGGAAGGGAGGGAGCTGCTCTGGCAGTGCCAAGCACGGCCAGGTGCTGGTGAAGCAGGTTATGGTTTATGCAGCAGGTTTGTGGCTGCTCAGTGCCCAGCCCTGCTCTCCATACCAGGGTGGTGGGGACGCTGCATCACAGAGGGGTCAGTCCAGATGTGCCATCACAGCTGGGAGCAAAACACACAGTGCCTGCGGCTGCTGGACACCACAAAAACAGAGCTGGGTACACTGCAGTCTTGCCTGTCCATGGACTCCGCTGGGCTCATGGGGATGCTACAGTGGTCCCCAGGACACTGGGCTGTCCCCAGGCTGCCACCGCAGCTTCCTGCCTCCCTCCCAGCTAGGGACGAGCCCCACAGATGATGCCAGCAGGAGGGTTTTCTGCTTGCTCCCCCCTGCCTTACACAGCTCACTGATTAATTATGGATCCAGCAGAAAGCTTTTATTACATTACAGTTTACTTCTGGCAACATCCGCGTTTGTTAAAAAGAAAAAAAAGAAGAAGAAAGTAATTACTACTGTGGTGTAAACACCACAAACACCACTGGGTTATGGGGAGCTTGATGCTCGGGGTGAGCACCATGACTGGTGTTTGCTACAAGTCCCTGTTCTGTGGTAGGATGGGATGGGGATACCAGGAGCTGCTTCCATGGCACTGCTTGGGGTGAGGATGGAGAGCAGCGAGAGAAGATCCCATCCATCCCCGCTGGGACACCCCATGGACGTGGGTACCATGTCGCCAGCCTTGTCCTGACCCAACCCAAGAGGGGACAGAACCAGATCCTGTGCCAGGGTCCCTGACTGCTGCTAAAGAGGGAATAGTAAACAAGGTGGAGTGAAACATTTGATCTCCATCCATCTGCCAGTACTTAATCTCTCAACCACAGCCCTTGGGCCTCCCAGCCCCCCTAATCTGCTCCCCCTTGGCTGTTGGGGGGTCAGAGCTGGGGCTGCTGGCCATGCCCCCCACCACACGCATGGCATCAGCACAACTGGGAGATTGCTAGTTCCATATGGTGGGAGAAACCGGATTAACTGTCCCCGTTTCGTGGTTTAACCCCTGTGCTGCTGCTGCAGTGGTTAGAGGGCACAATCAAGGGGACAGGGTCCTGCTACTGCCCCCTATGCCTGCATCCTGCCCGCATGAGCATCTGCTGCTGGAGCCACTGCCCACACTGCAGTAGCAAGGGACAAATCTGTCCTTGGGGGCTTGCAGGGGATGCAATTGCCTTCGGGACTCCCCGAGGATGGGAGCAGCTCGGAGACACTCGGCGTGAAGTAGAGCTGTAAGTGCCTCCTGCGTCACGTGGCGAGGATAAGTGCAAAATGGCCCTATTATGATAATTGCACAAAATTATGATTGATGGAGATTAGCTGCTTATTTGAGGAAATGGCAGGCACACGTGTGACACAGGCAGGCCGGGCCACGGGAGCACGGGCAGAGGGGCACTCCAGGCTCTTCCTATGGTGCAGATTGTCAGCACCATCCCAGGAGCTGCTGCATCCCTGCTTTCAGGATGGGAAGTTCCATTGCGTAGCCAGAGCATGGCTGGAGTCTAGGATGAGGCCAGTGTGACCCATGCACAGCCCCATCCTGCCCCATGCAAGGCTTCTGGTGTTTTCTGCCAACCCCATTAAAGGTATCCCTGATTAGTGGGTAAACCTGTTAAACGGTGATGGCAGGCAGGTCTCTGCGCGATGGCTCCTTGACTGGTGCTCCCGGTGCTCTGCCCCACCAGGCCGTGCCATGGGGATGTGCCATGGGGCTGGGGAGAGGGCAGTGGAGCAGTCCCAGCACCCCTGCAGCTCTCAGTAGGTCTATATGACTTACTTTGGGTGAAGCTGAGCCGGGTGCTGGGTTGGCAGCCTGCTCCTGCCTCATGCCTGGCTGTCCCCACCAGTGTTCCTTGGCCTTGGGGACCCTCCTACGGCATCAGTGCTGGGAGACCCTGCACTACAATGGGTGCTCAAGCCACATTCCAGCTTCTTCCTTCAGAAAATCACCAAGACCAGGAATCTGGGGAAGAAAAGCAGGAAAGGCAGGAATGGCTGCAATGCCAATGGCTGGCCAGGATGGAGCCATGGCATGACTGCACCACTGGGGCCAGGGTTTTGGCATGGGGTGGGCACGCTGTGTCGCACAAGGCTGAGTGCACGGCCGTACAGTGACAAACGGCCGGGGGGCACCCCAAAACCACCCACCCATCGCCAGAAGTCCCTCCTCCGCTCTCCCCTTCCCAATTTCCCGGGCCTCCCTACGCATCAGACGGATGCTGGGTAAGAGGTGTGTCTGCCAGAGCCGTGCTTGCCACGCAGCATCCCTGAGCCGATCTGCATCGGCGCTTGCCATCCCTGGCATGGGCTCTCCTGTCTGGGATGGGGGCACGAGCGGACACGGACAGAGCTGAGCCTCTCCATGCGATGCCAGCACAGTGTCCAGGCTCCCGAGCCCTCACTGCGGGACGAGGACGTCACCCAGCTGCCCGCAGCGAGCCCCTGGCAGGTTCCCCGCCACCGGGCACGGCGAAGCCAGCTCATTCCCCTGCCGTTTTCCCCTTTTCCTCCCCCTTGTTTGGCTTTTGGCAGCAGAGCCACGGTGGTGGCTGGGGCGCGCAGTGCCGGGGAAGGGCTGCCAAGCGCCAGCAGCCCCCCGGCCCCCCGTGCCAAGGCTGGTGGCTGGCAGAAGGGCTGCCTGTGCCTGGTGGGGCTCCGTCAGCTGCGGGAGGATCCCTGCGCCGCGCTCGCTGCCAATTTCCCTGCGAGCTGGCACCGTGAGCGGCTCCGGAGGCACCGGCGGAGAAGGCTGGGGAGGACGGATTGTGAGAGGGAGAGAGGAAAAAAAACAACTAATGGACACATGCCATCGCGGGAGCGGCGAGGCTGCCGCTGCCAAGGCGCCAGCAGGCAGCGAGGGGCCAAAACCCGCTACGGCGAAGAGAGGAGGGTCTGGCAGCCCGTCCTGGCGCGAGACACATGGAGGACAGGCAGCGTGGCAGCGGCACGGCATGGCCAAGGCAGGACGGGTGGCAGACGGTGGAGCCAGAGCGGAGAGAGGTATTTGCCTTCGTTCTAAAGGCTGCGTGTGCGTGCATGTGTCCGCTGCCGGGGCTGCGCATCCCGGCTGGCTCAGCCCGGTGCAGGCTGCCTGCGGCCTCTGCGGCCGTCCCACCGCGCTCCTGCCTGTGGCCTGCCCTCGGCTGCCTGCACCCGCTGCCTGCCATGGGCAGGGACGGGCTCTGGATGCCGGCTGGGCTCGGATAACGGCTGCAAGGGGGGATTTGCCGTCGCCTGGCCGCACACGCAGGGGCCGCGAGGGAGGTCGCAGCTTTGTCTGGTTGGGCTTTGTCTGCCGGCGGCGGCGGTGCCGGGAGCTGTGCCGGGCACAGGCAGGGGCGGCGTGAGCCAGAGTCCTGCTGATGGCAGGGCTGGCACATGGGATCCATCCCCTGCTCCCACACCAGGGCTGCCACAGAGCCGAGCCTGGGGCAAGGGGTGGCTGGGAGAGAAGGGAGAAAGGGAGGGTGGACAAAGAGCCCTCCGCACCCAACACCATGGTGGGGAGGAAGAGGAGGTGCGGGGCACCGGGAAGCTCATGGTCCTGTGGCCATGAGCCGCACAATACAGGGCACATGGCAGCGGGTTGTTGGGGGTGCGGGTGCGTGTTGGGAGCCTTGGGGATGGGGATGAGGGGTGCAGGGCAGAGCTTCAGTCCAGCAGCACTGGTGCGGCCGTGTGCTGGTCCAGGTCAGTGCAGGAGCAGCGCTGGAGCCAGCGGTGGACACCAGTGTGCCGGGAGCACTGTGGCTTCACAGCTCTGCTGGAACCCATGTGAAGGCAAGGGACTCTGGCCAGGACTCCAGACATCAAACCTGGCTGGCACCGGGGGAAGGAGCTGGCACTGAACTCAGGGAAAGAGAGATGTTGGCAATGCTGAGCCCCAGCATCACCCAGCTCTTCCCTGCTGCTCTGCACCACTGAAGGACCCGGCCTGTTCCCAAGCAGCACTCTTGTGCCCAGGGATGTCCTCGCTGCACCAGCACCATGAGGACAAACCTCCCTCAGGGTACCTGACCCCAGCACCCATTGCCTGCCATGGCAGGGGTCCCAGCATCCAACTTTGAGGGCATCAGCATCTTCCTGGGAGTGGTGTGCAGTAAGGCAAGAGGAGCTGGCCTGTCCCATCACATCCTGTCCCATGCTCAAGCATCACTAGACAGACTGGTCCATGCCTGGCTCTCACAGCCAGCCCATGCATCATGAATCCAAGCTGGAGGAGCAGCTCTTCCCATTCCTGCATCAGATACTGGGATTAAACACAGCACCCTGCTTGTGAGGGACAGACCATGCTGCAGCCTGGTCCACAAGCATCCCATGGAGAAGGATTGGAAAAGGTGCCTCCAGCAGCTGAATGGCACCACCGCAGCCCCTCCACCTCATTCAAACCTCCTGGGGCCGCTATTCATGGGACCACAAAGCCCTTTGCCTGCCCCATACTTCCCATTGCAGGGCTGGGGCAGGAATGCTCTCCGTGTTACAGAACGCTCCCCCCATCTCCCGCTCTCCCCCGTTTTCCTCCGTATTTCACAGTTCCTGCTTCCTGCACAAGGCAGGGGTCTCCAGGGACTCCAGCCAGATGTTCTCTGCAGCACACCACATTGCTTTCCTAATGAAATATTCATGGAGCCTCTCCGCCTTTTGCCATGAAAGCCTTCTGCAGCTCCCAGCCATGGAAACGCTGTGCAGGCAGCATTCCTGCAAAGCCATCCCCGCCGGGGTCCCGGCCCATGCTTCCCGCTCAGCACCTTTCCGCTGCTCCTCCTTCCTCTTCCTCCTCCCGCAGGCAGTGCCGGAGCAGGGGCTTCATCCCCTCTCTCCTTACATTGCCAAGGGCACACGCAGAGCCATGTGCTGGGGATGCTGGTGTGCCCTCAAGGCCATCACCCACCCCAAGGCAGGGTCCGTGGATGGCTGAGAGGGGTGGTGAGTGGACGCACACCCCAACATGGGGCACTGAGGTGTCTCACCCCCCCCTTGCCAAAACCACACCAGGAAGGGCAGAGGTGGAGGCCCTCTTTGCCAGTGCGGCCCTGGCGCTGCTGCCGGCACCCAGCCAGCCCACAGCATTAGCGATGCTGTGCACTATAATCCAATTAGGTTGTTTATGCAAACAATCAGGTTTTATGTTTCGGTAAAAAGCTTAAATAACCTTAATCAAAGCGGAAGACCTGAAATTATCACCAGCGGGTGGTGTGGTTTGTCTGGTGGTGGGCAGGACACCCTGCCCAGCTCAGGACACCCTGCACAGCTTGTGACACCACAGCTCCAGGATCTGATTGATAACCCAAGGAGGGAAGGGTGGGCACAGGGTGGCCATGGGGGCGGAAGGAGGATGCTGGGCTACAGGTTTGCTGTGCTGGCTGGGAATGGGGGAACACATCTCTGCCACAGCCACCTCTGGGGCTCCCTGCTCTAGGTGCTGAGTGCCTGATGCTGCAGTGCTGCCCCCCTTGGACCTCTTGTCACCACTGTCCATAAACATGGGAACATCCCTCTGCACCAGGGTGTTGTGTCAAGCCAAGGGGATTCGGGAGATGCCAGCCAGCGACTGATCCAGCACATTGCCACCATCCCACATCACATCACCAGCCTGGGCTGCACTGACAGCACTGGAGCATCCTGGTACTGGGAGGAAATACCTGCAGCTCCAGCTCAGGTCAGCCATGGCAGTGCAAGGGGGCACATGGGGGATTGTGCCACGATGTCCCTGCTCCTGCCTGGGGACAAGCATGGCAAGGTGGGGAGCAGGGCTTGCTCTGGAGGGCCATGCCTGCTGGCACTGCCTCCTGCACACCCCAAATTTCTGGTGGAGTAATAAGCTATGCATGTAGTGTAGAAATAAAACATGTTCTGCAGAACAAATGATGTTAATTTGCTGAGAGGCTCTGAAGCTGAGTATTAGCGAAATGCCTTGAGGGAGAGAGCAGCAGCTGTGCTGGAATTAATGGCAACGTGCCGAATTAGCACCGCTATGCATCATAGTCAGAGGGAAAAATTACCAGAGAGAGGGGGAAAACAACCCCCTCTACAAGCCAGCCCCAGCCCTGGGGCACGCTGTGGAGCAGAGCCCATGGGCTGCTCTCACCCAGCCCTTGCCCATGCACACCATGGGGAAGGCTGCTTGCTCTGAGCCTAATGGCCTCCTCTGTGAAGGTGTGACCTCGGGAGCGCTCAGCATCCCTCTGGGGTGCTTGACATCACTACAGGGTGCCCAGCATCCCTTTGGGATGCTCAACATCCCTCCAGGGTGCTCAGCATCCTTCTGGACCAAACTGTACCATAGCACACCCACCCCACTCCAAGGGACCATCTCATCCAGGGTCTGCATCCCTGCTTCCTTCCCCTCCTTTGTGGGGGACTATTCATCTCCTTGTCTAGTTATTTCTTCTATTTATTCCTAGTTGTTGAGTGCCTGAAGTCTGTAGATCCTCACTGATTACTAACAGTGCAGCTGGCTTATGGCTCTGCAGCCTCCTCCAGAGCATCCGTCTTCCTTCCTCACCACCTTCCGCCCACCATAGCATGCCACAGCTACTGGGACCACGCTGCAAAGTGTGCTTAATGCATGATTCCAGTAAAATCCACACCTCTGATGAATATTTAACACCAAGATCCGTCTCTGCTGCCTGCTGGGGGGGGTCTGGTCCCACTGCAGCTGCTGGGTCAAGGCTGCTGCTTGGTCTCATGAGAAACTGGGCTTAGTGTGGCTGAACCCAAGCCTGTGCAGACAGCAGTGAGCAGTTAGCCCAGGGGAGATTGAGGATGGTGGCATCCTGAGCTGGTGATACCCATAAATCCCTCATCATCCCACGTGTTTGTTGCAGCCCACAGCTGCTTATCCCCAGCACAAAACATCTCCCTGACTTGTCTTGTCACCCTCAGACTTGTGTCCTGCTTTTGCCTCTGCAGATCCCCAGCCCCATGGGAGAAGGATGCTGAATGGAGACACCCCTACCTGGTCCCTGGTGCTGCTGTGCCTACCGGCCCTGTCATGGGACAGTCCTAGGATGGGAGTTCATGATTTGGGCTGTGCAACGCGGTAGATGTGGATGTGCCACCAGTCTGGTACTTGCTCGATGCACCAACAACTGCCATGCACCCAACCTGCCGACCTGCTGGGATGTGGTGACAAGGATGGGAACCCCACTACAACGCCTCTGTAGCCACTGGGTTTCAACACTGCCAAGAGCATGTCCAGGCAAAGGAGGAGGTTTATCCATTCAAACACCAGTACACATGGAGCTTTACCAAACACACTGAGGCCTGGATGGCTGCCTCAGGGGCCAGGATCCAACCTGGGGAGGAGAATGCTACAGACCAAGGGAGGATGGAGGATTACAGTGGCATCTCCAGCCAGGACCTGCATGAGCCCACCGAGGTCCCCAGGCTGGGAGCTCTGGGTACACAGTACTCAGCTCCATCCTTGGGTTGGGAATGTGGCTGGGAAACCTTATAACCAGTTGGTTTCAGAGCAGGAGGCAAGAAGCAGGAGGAAGGTGCTGTGGGTGCTGTGGGTGCCCGGGCACAGACAGGGTGATCGGTGCTGCCGGTCACTGCCAGGTTACATCTGCTGGGGCATGCAAGAGTGACTCCAGATGCATTAGAAGTGCCGTGCTCCAATTTCAATTTCATCGTCTCACAATCATTTTCAGGCTCCTCTTAGTGCCACATTAACGAAGCCTGCTCGTTTGAATGCATAATTAGCCCAAGCATTCTACCTCGCTAATTTCGAAGCAAGGGGGGGGGGGGGGGGGGAGAGGAGAGAGTTGGGGAGGGGGAATTTGCATATTAATTTAGTAGAGGGAGAGAAAAACTGTTTACCACTTGCTTCTTGCTGTTGATCACAGCGGACTTAACTCTTTCCCGGGTGCCATCTGGAGCTGTGGAGCCGGGCGCTCAGCCGGCACATGGGATGGGATGCAAAGGTTACAACGGCAGCAATTAAATCCTCCCTCCAACGAGACCACCCTGGTTGCCTTTCCTGCTGGGAGCACCAGGTAGGCAAAGGGTGGCCAAGGCGGAGGTACCAGGTCCAAGGTGCAGCCCTCCCATGCGGCTCTGGGGTCAAAAGTGCCATCATCACCCATACCCCAAGGTGTCAGGGTCCACCCTGGGTCTGTCCCTCACACCCTTGGCAAAGGGTGCCAGGGGCAGGGATGCCCGACAGCATCACCCCTCCTGCAAACGGGTGTCTGGGTCCATGCCAAGAGCATCTGGACCCCCTCAGTGTGCCACCTCCAAGGGAACAGCTCTGTGTCCGTGTCCCCCCCCCCCCCTTGCTTTTTGGCATCACCCACCCATAATACAATGTTGGATGTTCACATATGCCACCCCCAACAGGCCTTTTGCAATGGCATTGGTGTGGATGGGATGCCCACAGACATGATGCACACCCCCAAAGCACCCATGGAGTAATGTGAGCAGCCTGCTGAGCACTGACAACTCTCTACACATCGAACCCTTCCCACCATCTCTCTTTGTTTGGGAGTCTGTGGGCATCTTGAGGCGAGGATGGAGGTAATTTGTCTGTCTCCTGCAGCGGGCTGTCATCTCACATCTGTGAACCAGTTCTATTTGCACTGCTATTAAAAAATCTCAGGTCTGACAGGTAGTAAAAAAAAAAAAAAGTAAAAATAAAAGGGAGAAAAGCCTAAAAGAAAAATAAAAAGCAACTGAGGAACTCCTGGGCAACAGGATGCTGCAAATATTGTGGGCTCATCACATCTGCAACCACCCTCAAATCCAAAGCCACAAGCCATATTTTGGCCTTTGGACATACATCCCCAACTCACTTGGGCTTTGAATCTCCATCCGCATCTCATCTGGGCTCCCCAAAAAGGCTTAGTCATCCTTAGAGAGTCCCTGCCCCAACCATGCACCCTGTCTCACTGGCTTGGAGCCATCACAGCGATTTGGGGAACAGCATCCATCGCTGGCATCCCGTTCTGGCTCCTGCATCCGAGCTGGCATACAGAGATGCACAAGGGGTTTATCCTGCACCTACACATGCCACCAGGTCATGGAGCCACACGGCTGGGGGACACCCCACATGTGGGGATGGGGTCTCTGGCATGGCCGGAGCTGTGCGAGTGCTGCCTCGAGGCGTGGGGCTGGCTTGCAGAGGGTTAACAGTTGATTACAGCCTTTGTCTCTGCATCAGTGTACATAATGCGCCCCGCATTTGCATACTGCAGTGTGCGCTCAATTAAAATGAACTTTTAATTTCTTCTAAGTAAATTACTTCTTCCCGGTACGTGACGCGCACAAATGTCAGAATAATGGGAGAGCCTTAATGAGCTGGGAATGAAGGGCGGGGAGGGGAGCGCAGGGGGACCCGGCCCCCCCGGGCCACCCTCCAGCCTCCCTGCCAAGGGAAAGGATGCATCGTGCCTCCTTCTGCCTTCCCCGCTGGGGCTGGGGCATCCCTGCCTCCGGCATGTCCCCTGGGCAGCGCAGGGGTCACTTCCTCCTCCCCATCACCTCCCTACTGCCTGTGTTCCTTAAGGGGCTGAGCTCGCTGGTCCTGCCTGCATCCTGGCACCTATGGATGCGTGGGGACACAGGGACACGGAGCATCCCTGCAAGGGGCTGAGCTCTCTGCGTCCTGCTCGCATCCTGGCACATATGCACCCAAAAAGGCTCCTTGGGGTACCTTCTGCCCTCAGGGAGCCCCACAGCCCACTCTGCCCTCCCCATGGTGGGTCAGGGACGATGCTCGGCGGGGATGGATCTCTATATCCCCGTGTCCGCGGAGGCCAGATGGCAGGGGAGATTACCAGAATTTGATTTTGAGATAAATCACAGACCTGGATGAGCGAGTGCGGCTCCAGATGCATTATCCGTAATCCCCTGCAAGGGAACCTTTCGCAGGAGACGATCCCCGCGCCAGCTCGGCGGCAGCTTGTTAATCCC